GCACAATAATGCTATGAATTAGTGAGAGCTAATGGCTGGAAGGTATAGTGGTTCCAGACTGCGAGATCTGTGCGTTTTTAGACGAAAATAAAAGGTACAAACAGCACGGCTTGCAGTACACAATCATTACCTAGTAATTAGTTTACACAAAGCTTCCTATTTAATGGCAAAACGCTGTAATTAACGCCTGACAGAAAATCAAAGGGTACTTTGTAAGCATATGAAAAATTAACACTGCAGGCCTATAGCTTTATGTACTGATTAGAAGCATATTAAATCAATAGGACATACAGCCAACAGCTTGCAGATCCCAGGATTGGGGGGTTAGGAAGGGATATCATGGCTCTCATTCAGCCAGGGGAGGGAATTCTGCTTCATTTTACCTCAGGTTTGATTGTCACCTGGAACAGCAGCACGGAGAGATTAATAAGCTGAATGGCCTGTTTGCAGGTCCAGTGGATATGTGAATTATCGAGGATAGATTTCTGGCAGAGCACTGGGAAACAACCTGCAGCTCCAGTGCTTTACGTAAGCTCTTTCTCTTTTCCTGGTAAACATGGTATCAGGTAGAAGAAATGGTGAAAACACGTCACACATTTTTGGTGGATCTGTTAGAGGTTTTGGCCCTCTTCAGGCTGGAAAAATACCTCACCTGCAATTCTGTGGGGACGACAGGCTCCTTAGAAGCCCCTGGGGATTTAGGTGTTACATGAAGATCAGTGAAAAGAACTTGGAAGAAGCAGTGTTAGAAGCTCTGCTGTGCTCAAAGAAGGTGAGGCAGGAGCATGCTGGCAGTGCTATGCTTCCAAATTGACATTTTGATGGCATTGTGGTTGAGTTTGTTCTGATCTGCTTGCAAATGTGGATTCTTTAACTCAGTAAAGAGACAACATGTGGCCCCAGGTTTCTTACAGTCCCTGCAATTCACTCAACCAAGAAAGAACCTGCTCACCACTAGTCCTGATTTTCAGGTAATCACAAATCTTATCTGTTACTTAGCACAAGACTTTCAAAAGCTGAGCACAAATGTTCCATTTAAAGGAAGGTCCAACACCAATCAGTGCCAAATCCTGCAAGCACCGCCTGGATATTGCTTTTTGCAACTTGGACTTGAACTTGGATGTGTCACATCTCAAAAGATTTTATTTATTTCCTCTTACTCATTTCAGTGAATTAGCCAAATTATGGTCTATAAGGAAAAGAAACTGTGACAAAATCCTGTGACTCAGCTGGAGGAGAGATTCAAACACATTTCTAACAGGAGCTGTCCAAGCACATTAAATTGCTTTATTTCTTCTACAACAGCTACTTAATGGAGAGTTCGAAATGGTTGTGTGGCTGTGACCAATTTTAATGGCTTATTGAGAGAGTATTTGTTGCTTGCTTTTGTGTCTTGTTCTATTCTCGGATTTTCAGCTCTTTTTATCCCCACACTTAGCCCTTTTATTTGTCTCCAGTCTCTGTTATCTTTAGGCTTGCTGCAAAGTAAACTCACATCATGTTGTTGGTCCTAGTGGTTAATTAAGTCACGGAGTAATAAAAGATAATTATAAAATTAATTTCAGTAGTGATTTTATCTCCTGATTTACTACTTAAGAGTTCCACAGATCCAAAGATTCAGGGGATTCAGGAAAGTATGAAAACACAGTGAGCATATCCATTCCTCAGATACTCTCCCAACCTCCAGCAATTGGCAGTTACTAACCCCTCTAAGCCACAGACTCTGCAACAACAGTTAATAGTTTTCCATGAATGTTTAGTCTCTCAGCAAGGATCCTTTTACATTTAGGTGAGATTTTCCAGAATCTGAACAGCTCACTTGCAACAAGAGGTAGATTCTCAGCCCCTTCCCACACCTTGGAATACCATATATTAATGACTATTGTGGATGTCTTTCTCTAGATACTCCAAACAATTTGTCACTGACTCTGAGAGCAACAGAACCATTTTTTCTGCTACACACAGAAGCTTGAATTGGGACAGTAAAGAGGCTGGAAAATCATGACAGAATGGCATGAGAGCAATTCAAACAGCACATATGCCTTACATTCCTATTTTAGATATGAATTTATTTGCTCCCTACAACAGTTACATTACAACATACAATTAAACTTATTAATTAAGGAGCCTCAGTACTTGCTGATATTTTTGCACATAACCAGGGCCAGATCCTGACTTTCTTTTCCACCCTGGAGAATGTTCCACCAATGACCTCACACTGTCAATGTGCACTTGTGGAAGCAGAAAATCCTTGGATATTGAATATCATTGGATTCTGTGCTTTGGCATGATTCTGGGCCTTTCTTATCTGCTGACAGATTTCAGCAGTGCACAGGATGAAGGACTCAGAGACATCCATGTAGTTTGTAAATTCATCCTGTTATTGCAAATTAATTGTTCAGGTAACTCAGAGGCTGCATGAAGTTCACAAGGTGAACACAATGTCCTGCACTTGGCTTTGCCCCACCTTCCCTTTGAAATGAGGAATGTGAAATCAGCCTCATTTGTAGCTGGAATAGATTTTTTCCACAGCTCAAACTCACCAACCACATTATTTTTAATCTGTTGCCTGCTCCATGCCACTGAGGGAAATCTGGGTATCATGTCTTAAACTGCTATGCAAATGAGGCTATTTGTAAGTATTAACATAATTTAGTGCTTACAGTCATGTTCTCATTTCTAATAATTCTCCCAGAATGGAGAGGCTTTTCAGTGCTCTCCTAGCCTGCAGGATAGTCTTTCATCAAGAAGCTGAAGTTTTTAATAACCTGCCAGCAAAGGGTTTGTGTGTAACAGCCAACACTGATGACACAATGTCTTCATTATCAAAAGGAACAGGTCTCCATGCTGGAACAGGACATTAAGGAATTCCTGTGCTCATAAACTAATGCTTTAAATGTGCATCATTACAATGATATTCCTTAACAATGGAGGATTTTAATCCTCTGCTCTCAACGGTAAGGCTCAGTGGAGACTGAAATTCAGCATATCCTAAAGGTCTCCTGTGCCACAGCAGAGTGGAAACTCAGAAGGCAGAAAGATTTGAACACACATATTCCACCAAAATAACAGCAAGTTTCACACCTTGGAATCAGAGAATCCTGGAATGGCTTGGGAAGGACCCTAAAGCTCATCTCATTCCATCTCTGCCACGGACGGGGACACTTCCCACCAGCCCAGGCTGCTCCAAGCCCCATCCAACCTGGCCTGGAACATTTCCAGTGATGGGGCAGCCACAGCTGCTCTCC